GGAAAGGATGGAGACGGGACGAGACGACCCCTCCGGGATATATGTATCGTGTGCACACGGATAGTAGCCACGCGGCGGCGCGTAATTGAATCAATCGACGATTTACTACCGAACCGCGCTGCCCCGAGTGACGATTAATCTCGCGCGAGCACGACGCTAGCACGCCCCAAGAATATTGCTGTTATTTTCGCTCGGCTCGTGGGTATTTAGGTGGATAGGGATCGAAAGGTGTAATTGCGATTTGTGGGATTTGTCTTCTCGATGAGCGAGGGAGGGGAGGGGGGAAATTGAATCGTCGAAGAGGAGAGTTTATAGGCGTTTATGAAGTGCAGGCGATAAACGAAAAACGAAATCCAAGAGTGTTTATTAACAACGCGAGAGATTATTGCGTGGATTATACAATAATTAGTGGTTTGTTAAAATTACTTTTACGAAATTGTTAATTTTTAAACGCGATAATTTGAGAATACGTATAATATAGTGTTTTATTTTTATTTACGATAATAATAGCAATTTATTATATTAATAACGTTTAGTTAACACCCCTTTACGAGTGATACAAGTTAAAAGTAATTACAATATGATAAGAAGTTGCTTTGTTCCCAACATTATCAAACATTTCGTTCATTACTTAATTATAAGTATGATTACTACGTGTAACGTATACAGCGACCTCTTAATAATCAGGTTTACATAAGAAATAAACGAAGGGGAATCGAGGTATTCCTTTCAAAAAAAGAATATTATATCCTTAGGAAACCGAGCATTTACCGATTTCCAGTAAAATATCTAACTTTGAATAACTCGATATTATAACGAATAAAATTAAATTTAAGAGGAAAAAAAAGTATAAAAAAAAAATCACGACAGAACTTTGCCAAAGGTTTCTTTCAAACGCAATTTAGCAATTTCCCTACGACCCAACAATGGTGATCGCGAAACGTGACGACAGGTAGTTCCAGTAACTAGTTGGTCGAAATCACAGGACCGAGAAACCATCAACGAGTCGCCATCAACCGAGCAATTTACATAAGAAAGAAACTCCTTATGACGCAACCGTGGACAACCTTCGGGAAATCTGTCTTTCCACGAGTTGGAACGAGGTTGACGTGACCTCTCTCTCTCTTTCTTTCTCTCTCTCTCTCTCTCTCTCTCTCTCTCTCTCTCTCTCTCTC